GAACCTCAAAAAAAAAAGTTCTGAAAAAAAATTTGGAGTTGTCTACTCACACAGGCACTGCGGCTGCTCGCCCGTCCACCTGCCGCCGTCGCCGCACACGCGCCGCTCCTGCCCGATGAGGGTGTAGTTGAGGGAGCAGGTGTAGAGCGCCACGGCGCCGTGCGTCGTGCGCGCCTCCTGCAGCCGCACGTCGCCGTGCTCCGGGGCCGTCACGCCGCCGCAGTCCACGTCTACAAAACAAGCACAAGTTCAGCACCACAACAATAGCAAAACCAATAGCTAAATACAAACAAGAAAAACAATTTTTTTTTCGCGTAGTCTCGTTAGATTTAAAGTCAAAATTGAAAATCACTTTCGCAATTTTTTTTTCTTCGGAATGTCTTCCTCCTTTCATGCGTTGGCTATACTCACACATGCAGCTGGGCGCCTCGCCGGTCCAAAAGCCGTCCCTGGCGCAGGTGCGGTTCGCGGAGCCCACCAGCATGTGGCCCTCGGGGCAGCGGTAGGAGATGACGGCGCCCACCGAGTGGTTGCTGCCCACCACCGTCGTGTTGACCAGCTTGTCCGGGGAGCCGCAGGACGACGGCGCTGCGGACCAAGAGAGAGTGAAATGAGTATCATCACCGTAATAATAATAATAAGTCTCCTGCAGCTTCTTTTGGCGGGGAAACTAGCCGCGGGGGGGAGTCCTTTGCTCGGCACTCGCATAGGGCAACGGTGGGGTCGCTTTGCACGACCGTGGCGGGGCAGGGCGGGGCGCGGCGGGGCGTGGGGTGCAGACCAAGACAATACGGACAGTGCTATCACGGCGGCGAGTTCAAATCCCCCGGGCGGTCATGCGAGCGCGTCTTTTTTTAATCTTTATTTTATTCATGATGATCCATCTCCCGCTCGGCACACCGCGGCGGCAAGCAGCAGCGCCGTTTTTCCGGCAACACCCTTCTTTACTTGTGTGGTAATTGCGAACCGGAGGGGGTATCGCCACAATCCACGAGGCGGGG